AAGGATGCGTAAAGAAGTGCCGCCACAAGATGCAGGAGTGCATAAGGTGGTGTTTGGCTAATATAAGAATCTGACAGGAAAATGTAGCTTTCCACTCTCACTGGGAAATATTACAAAGCATAGGAAAACCTGAAGAGAATACAAGTGAAAATTGAGAGACTATAAAGACACGAATTGTCAAGAATATATTCGGAAAATGCATCCATCAAATACTTGAAGTCCCAGATTCTCTGTTACAAGAGCATGCAAAGGAACAAACATACTACTGTGAGTTACAAAGGCCGAAGCAAGAAGTAAATTAGTGCATAGATAATGAAACCTGGAGATTTTAGTTTTTCTTCATAAAGCGCCATTTTTACACTGGTACAAACAAATAGGCACATGCACTTAAGTGCAGAAGATAAACCCAGACAAAAAGATAAAAACCCAAAAACAATTAGAATATAGAGAGAGAGAGGAATATATCCCTGATCTAAGTGGCAGGTTACACGGAGAGAAAGAAAGTGGGAGAAAGCAAAGCTTTAAAAAGGAAAAAAGATAATATGAAAGGTAGTAACAGAATGTAAAAATTGCTTACGGGACAAGACAATCTGCAGAACGAATACTTCCAACTAATAAAGGCCCAACATTCTTAGCTCTGTCACATGGCTGGGGTCTAACTCGGGGGCATTCTTATTATTTTCTCGGTCTTCTACAACATATTCCTGGCATCATAAAATTTCTTGATCCATCAGTTGAAAATATATGATAAGAGTTAAATGCTTCAAAAGAACTATTAGACTTAGTTTACAAATCATGCAATCTAGAAAGGCCACAGAAAAGATGATAATACAGCATCCTACATGAAATACACTAGTAATACAAATTTCTTTTGGTAGTCTTGGTAAAACTTGTTCAGAAGTGCCAATAGAAAGATCAATATAGAGCAAGGATTTCCAACAAATGATCAAGGAAACTTGAGTCCAAAATGCACAAAGGTACCAGTTAATTTTCAGTTGGAATAATTTAAATACAGCTCTGTTCCACACATTATGTCTATGAAGAATCATATTACATGTAGAGCATACTGAACGATATGTTGCTATTTCTTTTTAACAAAAAAACTTAATTAAAACAACCTGAAAAAAAGAAGTTCACAACTTAGAATATAACTGTTAGTCCGGAATGCCAGTAAGTTTCATTAGGAATAGTTTAAAGTTCAAAAGTAAGCTCAAAGTCGCAGTTAACAAACCTTTGTTAATTCTTGTTTGGCAAGAACATGGTAATGCCGTTCATTGATTCTCTGTCCACATATTATGGCTATGAAGAAGCCGTAAAGCAACCCCACCAAAACAATAGCTAAAACTGCAACAAAATAATAGATACTATTAGATTGCAATTAGTGTAATCATATCAAGGTAGGTAAAAACTCTCTTTTTCTTTCTTTCTTTTGGGGTGGGGAGTGGGGGAAGAAGGCATTGCCACTAATAGAAGGGTTGGATTAACCGCACAGCTAAAGGGTTTTATGAGAGACGACCCCTTCGCAAGAAATGGAATCATTTTCAGTGCTTCAACTTAAGTGCACAGCTCAATCAGAAACTCTGCAAATGATGATCGTCAGGGTTTATGTGTGGGGGGGTGTCTTACACAAAGAAATAACATATATTATAGGGAGTTCAAAGGGCAGCCAGGAGTCACATACCAGCCATAGTGTAAAACCCATATGGGTGCTCCTCGTAACCAAACATCTCCCTTAGTTCATCTCCATAAAATTTGTATACCATCACTCCCAAGAATGCCACAATCTGATCAAAGCAAATATTCTTAAAAGTTTATGACTGTCAGAACTAAGGAAATTTATATCTTCTTCTATAGAAGTTTGTTACTTGATAGAACTTGATAAAATAGAACTAACTGGAAACCTAACAGTAATGTTTAGAGTCACCAAAAATAGGAAAATTTAAATACAATTAGAATCAATTCTAACAGTACCCTTCTGTAACCCCAGTTTAAAATATAACAGCACCACACAAATGTCTACTGTTACTAACTAGTTCTTCTGTAGGCCATGCAAAGTTAAATGAAACTTAGGGAAAAGTACCCTTTTTTTTTGTTGGGAAAACTACCTGTTGATAAAATGATATGAACAATATTAAATTGTTTGTAAACATACCAGCTGCACGATAATGAAAATAAATGCATGGTCTCTAGCAACAAGGAACTGGAATTTCAATCTCAACCACCAGCGGTCGGGAGGGACATTTGCTCGTAATATGAACACTGCCCTGCATTCTGTACAATGAGCAAAAGCAAAGCCCTCCTGAAGAAATAAAGGATATGTATAATTAATACCAAGCCTCCACAACAGAAAAATAATATTTAGAGAATAGATACAATTGCATTTATTTGACTGCTTTAAGTGCCTACATGATTATCTACAATTCCATTATTCTAAAAGAAAAATTCTGAAGAAAAAAAATTCATCTGCAGGTCACGAGGAAGGGTCAGTGATGAAGAAAGAAATCTTCACCTTTGTTGACCTCCAATTATCAAGACATGATCTATGGACATACTTCTGAGTACCTCTGCAATGGCATGGAGCAATTAAGTCTTCCCCTGAAAAATAAATAAGCACATACCCTAACATATTTGAATTGCTGGACACCTATATAAAGATAGATCGAAAAGGTACTGAACTACAGTTAACTGTTACATGTGTATCCACATCATCTAAACCTCTCTCTAAAAACTAATGGTGACAGTGAAACCAAAGATACACAAAGAGATGCCAGGAAATATAAGAAGAACCTTCTTCAGTATCAAGGCAAATACGGCATTGTGGGTGCTCGGGATTCACCAACTTCGAATTTTCATCGACGTCTAGATTTTGTGACTCTTCATCATTAGCAGCAAAATCACCTTGCACAGCTGTAATTTCACATGAGGATGAAGATTCTGTGGGTCTCTGTGAAATATCCGACTGACATAAGATGGGCTCACATTCTGTAATATCTTCCTTGCGACTATCATTTGATACTAATTGCATTGCGAAGAATGTTGAGTCAGGAATACAAAGAAAACGTCATTTCCAGTGCTATAGCTCCTACAGACCATTTCAATCGGAACATGGAAACCTATAAAATAGATGAAAAGTACACCAGTTAGGAACCAAAACCTGCATTACATGTCAAGGTGTTGTTACTTGTTAGATATGGAAATTAAAATCACATTCCAGTACTAAAAATAATAATCTAACATTCTAAATTGCTTTAAGAACTTTCCATAAAACATCCATATGGACAAGTATAAACTATATGGTCTTTCAAGTTCAACACCCAACCTTTACTCTAATCAAGATTCATGTATCAAAACATCTGCAGAAATTTTGATGATTCGAAAGAAGAAGGCTATGGATGAAGATACCAAGTATCAATCAAGAACAAACAGAAGTTCTTAGCAAAAAATGAATTTCTCTAAGCAGAAGCATAGCAAACAATTGATATTGATTACGTTCATAGGTAGGATACAAACTCTTGCAACCAGCCTAACGTGTAACATGAGTCTAATTACCAGCTTATGATAAAAATATGTTCTTTGCTTTGAATTTCTTAAAGAGATAATCCCTTTCTCAGTTTGGCCATGACAATTATGTAAAATTAGCAAAAATTTCCAACTTTACTAATCTGTAGAGAGCATCAACTTCAACTCCAGCTTTCAAGTTCCCTAATTATACACTGTCCATACAAAGAAGCTTCATTTCTTCCCAAAATAGAAAAAAAAAACCAGCGAATGCAATAAATATATTTTATGCATAATCAAAATCCAAAAATGTGATGAACAAAGTACCAAAATCACATCGAACGCTACGGAATTTGATCAACAAACTAGTAAATTTCGAGCAAATATTGAATCTTTTTTAGATCAATTAAGGGGCTGACCTGCAATTTAGCAATACAGGAAGATCGGCATGGCACTGAAACAATGCAGGCATCAATTGGATGAACAATTTGAGAATCGAATTCTAGGGTTCTTATGAATTGAAGTGATACGGTGGACTTTGAAGGGACCGAGGGTGATTGACAAAAGTTGGGATTTTTTTGTATTTGGATTTTTTATTATAAATTAATTTTAAATGCACGCCTTGAAAACAGAGAGATGGTATCAGTGCAGGCAAAAGAAATGAGTAATCATGCAAACATCAAAAGATAAATAGATTTTGAATACTAAAGAAATACAAAATCATAACAAACAAAACATATGGATAAAATCCGTACCAAAACAAAATATGTATAAAATACCTGAGTGTATAATTTGAAGATTTTATTCTATATTCAGCCAAAAAGTCAGCCAAAAGTATAGACAATATAAATGACAAGTTTATAAATTGGATACGTAAAAAATATGTCCAAAAATACAACAATATATTGCTTATGATATGAGCTGATCATTTTTATATTGAAATCACATTATTTAGTAGAAAAAAATAAAAAATAAAATGTTGTTTGGGATAAAGAACTTGGTGCCACTGATTCAAGGCAAAGTCTTGGTTAAAAAGGTTTTGTTTTTGTTTTGCAAGATCTTAAAAAGCACAATTTTAAGATCCACTTGAAACTGAAATCAATGTCAGCGGGGTCTAGTCCAGTGGAAAATGACCTTGATTTGCATGTTCGAACTTCCATAGCACCATGGTAGCGTGTGAGAAACACCCCTTTCCTTATAATATAGACTATCACTTGTACTAAAAAACCAAAAACCAAAAAGAATTGAAATCAATAAAAAAGGCCAACAAAAAATATCATTGTTTTTAAAATAACGTGTGCCCATGTTCTTTGTTGTATATTGTATATGCCTATATCATATTATATTCTCTCTCTTTTTTTAATCTTCTTTTTGTGTGTTCCTCTGTATATGGGCCGGCTTTTTTTGTATATTTCATGTATTTTTTGGTTCTTCAGGCACTGGTTATGTATATGTAATGTATTGTAAGCTGTCTAAGCTGTTCATGATCTGTCTGAGATGACTTTGCAGAAACAATATAGCAAGTGCCTGAATTAATTCATATTTTTGCTGCATATATAAGTAAATAATAGCAAACCAAGAGACCAAGAATCTCTCTGAATTTTTTTTTAATGAGACAATGTGAATGTGCAAAGAATGTTAATTGTCACGAATATCACTCATTCACTTTTGGTGCAGGCCTTCTCTTCAACTAGTTGAGGGTGAAAAAAAAACGCATCTGATGATTGATGGCTAGTTACATGAGTTAGAACGCATGTTAGAACTTAGAAGGGATCAACTTGCAGCTTTAAATCTCTGGAAAATCAATTGGAGGCAAAACCAGAGCAAGCAATTTCACACTTTGACTGCTCCTGCTTTCTTTTTCTTTTTTCATATCTGTTCTGTATTTGTAAGAAGAAGGCTAGGAAGACTTAGAACCACAGTTGCAGCATCTATCTATAAACCACTTTAACCTGTTTGCAGAGAGATAGAATTAGTCAAACTATAGAGCAGAGAGAGAGAGAGAGAGAGAGAGAGTTTGGAAGAAAAACTTAAATTATATGATTAAATTTGTTGAACAGTTGAAGGGGGTTGACTTTTATAACATTTGGACAGCAAAGCAAATACAAGTTGACATAGCATTGCGTGCCTAACTACCAGTCAATTCATGGGTAGGTTTTCTTCTGTGGGTTTTAGGACTCATTTAACTGTGAGCATTGTACACTTTAGAGGGTCTGTTTTGTTTGGTTTTGAAGGATTCTTGTTTGTGTTCTGGGTTTCCTCAACTTTGACTGGTTGGTATAGGTCTAGGTCTAGGCTTTGGATCAAAGAAAAGAATCAATGTGGTAACCATGAATCGATTCTCAAATTAAAAGGGGGGAAAGAGTAAAAAACCTACCAGTCAAAAGCCCCTATCAAGCTCCTCTGCATAGAGTTGACAGAATTTGACAATTGCTCATGAAAATATAAATCATGCCCAGAATGTGAAAAATCAATGACTTAAAGAGCACAATTTGAATACAGATATCTGCCCACTGAAAGTCCATCATCAACATAAATTGTAATGCAAAGCTAGATGTTGTGATTAGTTAATACAATTGTTTCATCCAATATGAATATGGTAAGCAAAATTTGTTGATGATTTTTCATCAAAATCCTGGTCATTTTGACTAAGAACTAGTTTCCCCTATTGCTATCTACATTGGCAAAGAGATATAGAAGGGACTTACAAGTCTGCAAGGCATGAGCTCCTGGAATCCAAATCCTCCGGGGGCCGCCGATAATCCAAGGAGAATGCTGACG